AAAAACAATGTAAAGGAATGTGACAAATCAGTTTAATTAATTGTAGTTAATCGCCAATTGTCTCTACCTTTACAGTAAACAATCCGGCCAAGAATAACTCCAACAAATGCAAATGCCGTTTCTATAAATGGATGTGCGATATCCACTGGAAAATTCAATTTTCCAAGAATTGAGGATTGCATCTAAATTGGAAGTAGATAATTCACCATAATGTAACAAACTAGTGCTTTAGTAGATATTTTAATGAACCAGGAAATTTCCACAATTACTGTGGATGATTGTTCGATTATAAGCGTTTGGTTAGATTTGATTGATTGGAAAAATCTTTGCAACCAAGTGAATATTAAGAGGAGTAAACAAAATGATTAATTTAGCACTTTATCTGGTTAAAGTTGTAACAATCACGACTAATCCTCTGGTTTTGCCTTCCACCCGCTTCAAATCAGGTTAACCGCAAAGATGATTATGTATTCAGAGTCCGACCACCATTTATTTTAAAGATGGAAAGATACGATCAGCCTCAAAATGACCTCACACAATAAACGTGAAAAATATGAACCCCAATGTCGATAATTTTAAAAGAAGCGGCCCCATCTAAGAGGTCACGTCACACCCAGGAATTCAGCTTTATTTTACATGTTTTTTTTTTATTGTTGAGAGCTTTATTGTTATGTGAAACTTTCTCAAACTCTCTGAGCAAATTTCAAGATACAGGGCAAGATGCTATTGAAGAGTATGCAATTTTCATATTAAAATTTACTAAAATATAAAATAAAATTCATTCATTTATTTAGGTTTTTTTGATAACGATAGCAGAAAATAGCTATCGAAACGTCACGGTAATTTTTCAAATTAATTTCTTTACTTATTGGAATTTTCTCTTAATTCTTGATTACTTTTTGATAAATAATTGGTTCTTATTGCGAAATAGGAGCACTATTTATCAATCTGTAATAGAAGACGTGAGGAAATTCTGTCTTTTTTAAAGACAAAAATTTTTGAGGCGAA